TCAGACTTCGCAACACACACTTGAAATATCGGGGAAAAGGACTTGTTAAAACGATAATGTAAGTTGAAAGATTTTTTAATTTTCTCTGACATTGATTTAATTCGCGTATTATATCCGTAGCATGCTCAAATGTCGCATAACTTGGCATCTCAGACCAATCGCCTTGCATATCTATTGGTCAACAGCGAAGAATCGTTTCAATTTTATATTTTAATATTTAACTAATTTGTATTTTTAACATTTAACTTTGTATTTTAATATTTAACTTTTATGTATTGATAAAGACTGTAGTGCAGTCGAAACGTTTACAATTTATATCGATTCTGTAACGGAATGTTAATTTAATTATTTAACTATTAATAAAAATTTTTACACCTTATTTATTTGCTCGTTCAGTTGGCCTACTATATATGATTTGTTTAATTTTGTTAAATTATACGAGCCTTTCATTAATTAATTTTCATTAATTAATTTTATCACTTTATTTATCCACCCACGCACCCACCCACGTATCCACGCACCCATGTGCATACGCATTTATTGACTTGGTCACACCAAGAAGTAATTTTTAAAAAATTTGTGTACGTGTTTGTGATTATGTAGGAATCACGGATTGTGTCTTATTTCGGATAGAATAATAAAGTATTACGAGAAATGGTTTAATATAGGTATATTCAGATAACTTATCCGCAGTTCCACGTACTCTACGGCTTCGCGAAATTCGGTGCTCTTCTCCCGGAACCTCGGGAGAGACGCTTTATATCTTCGTCAAGCCCCGCGTGAGCCAATCAGGAAGCGACACATCGAGTGTTCAAATTCGCATATCTAATCCATCGCATGGCAAAACAAGAGTACAAAAACTGTCTCAAGACAAATACGGGCTCGAGACAATAGACCCGCAAGTCACAATAAATTTCGGCCACGACCGATTCGTCAACACGAGAAATAACAATATATCAAAACAACTTGAAATAAAAACGGACTTAAGACGATAAATTCTCGATTCCTACAATTATGTGTGCAATTCGTATAAATAGACCTTTAATTTGTATGCCTCAGTGGCGGATTATACACGAGGCGCATGAGGCGCACGCCTCAGGGCCCGGTCGCTGCGAGGGCCCGGCCTTGCAGCGTATACTGCTCGGTTGGTCCTCGGCGGCGGCCGGCGGCGGGCGGCGGCGGCCGGTGGCGGCCGGCGGCCGATTCGTGCGTGCGCCGTGCATGTCACTTGTTAGTCGTGACTCGTGTGATCGTGTCTTGAAGCATTATATCAGAAACGGAAACGAAAGTACGTATACTATATAAATAAAGGAAGTTTAACTTTAATTAAAATTAACATTATTCATTCATATTATTTATTATTTTAGATTTAGACAAAATGAATTATAAACACGCTTCTGGTTTTGAAAAACGAAAAAAACGAAAAATTCTCGAAGAAGCAAAAAAACAATTGCCAAAAATAACAAACTTTTTTATGGCAAAAGATGAAGTACACGATGAAAATACATCAGATTCAGAAAAAGACGAAGGCGAAATGATCAACAAAACCAGTAAACATTTATTATTAGATGAAATTGGAGATTCTGGTTCTTTTATACCTGCATCGAGTGAGGCACATGAATTTATCGAGACTGATAGTAATAGAAACCGAAAAGAAGAAAAGAGCGAAGCTAGTCTACAAATAGTACAAGAACCTCAAGAAGAAAAGAGCGAAGCTAGTCTACAACGAGTACAAGAACCTCAAGAAGAAAAGAGCGAAGCTAGTCTACAACGAGTACAAGAACCTCAAGAAGAAAAGAGCGAAGCTAGTCTACAACGAGTACAAGAATCTCAAGAAGAAAAAATAATAAATAGTAATGAAATTAAGAAGGTTCTCAAAGTGTCTGAATGGTCTGCTGAAATTATTAGGAATAATAAATTTATAGAAAGTATAGTTAAAAATAAGCCAAAGAGCGATACTATCGAAGATACGGGTAAAATATACAAAGATGGCAATCGTACTTACTATAGATGTTTAAAAGAATCCGATTTTTATCGCTTTAAACCAAATGGAGAAAAACTAAAAAGAGAATGGCTAATATATGATTCGCATAATAAATCTGTGTACTGTTATCCCTGCAAATTATTTTCGAAGGAAATTACATTTTTAAGTGATTTCGGCTATAATGATTGGAAAAATCTCACAAGAACACTTAAAAATCATGAGGAAACTAAATCTCATTTAAGCGCTATGGTAACATTAGCTACAAGATCATCTTTAGTCGGAACAGTAGACATAAAATTAAGGTACCAAATTCAGGAAGAAGAACAATACTGGGGAAAAGTCCTAAAGCGTATACTCGCCACAGTCAAATTATTATCCAGACAAGGTCTAGCTTTTCGGGGATCCGATGAAAATCTTGAAAGTCCTTATAGAGGCAATTATTTAAGTTGCTTAATATATCTTGCCGAATTCGACGATTTCTTAGCAGAACATCTATGCCGCTATGGAAATCAAGGAAAAGGTTCTACCAGTTATTTATCTCATCATATATGTGATGAATTTGTTCAACTGATGAAGGATAAACTACTTGATACTTTCACGGCTGAAATTAAAGCTGCAAAATATTTTTCAATTATAGTTGATTCCACTCCAGACATAAGCCATTGTGACCAACTAACTTTTGTTGTAAGATATGTACATGAAGGGCAAGTAGTAGAAAGATTTATGGGATTTCTTAAAATTGAAAAACATACCGCCGAATACTTGCAAGAGATTGTTTTAAATAATCTTAAACAATTGGGACTTGACATTGAAAATTGTCGTGGTCAAAGCTACGACAATGCCGCTAACATGTCGGGAAAATACAATGGTTTACAAGCAAGAATAAGAACTCTATCTCCCACTGCTGTTTATATACCTTGTACCAATCATTCCCTTAATTTAGTTCTTAATTTTGCCTGTGAAGCTTGTTCCCAAGCTGTTGACTACTTTAATTTAGTTCAAAATATATACACATTTTTTTCTTCGTCCACACATAGATGGCAAAAATTAAAAGAAAATTGTAGTCCCGTCCCAAAAAGATTAAGCGATACTAGATGGTCTGCTCGACATGATGCAATACATGCTTTAAATAAAAATTATAAATCTATTCAAAACATTTTCATGAATTTTGCTCAGGATGATAATGAAAAACCTGTAACCAGAAGTGAAGCTTTGTCTCTGCTCAAAAAGATGGAAATTTTTGAAACCATGTTTTTAACGATTATATGGTCAAAATTATTGGAGAGAGTAAATGCAACTAGCAAGGCTCTGGAAAGTCCAACATTAAATCTTATCTCTGGAGTTCAACTTTTAGAATCACTTGTTACTTTTGTTGACGAATTTAGAGAAAAATTTGATGAGTTGGAAAATACAACTAAGTTAATGACTGGAAATGATGTACAATATAAAGACGAAACAAAGAGAACAAAAAAAAAGAAAAATATTTGCAGACGAAATCAGAGAAAATGAAATTCAGTTGAGTGGGCGTCAAAATTTCAAAGTAAATGTATTTTATGTTATTTGTGATGGTTTAGCACAGGATTTAAAAAGAAGATTGAAATCATATTCAGAAATTGAATCCACTTTTAAATGCTTTTTTACAAATAACGACAACATTATCGATGAATCTTTGGCAAATCTTTCTGCAAAGTATCAAGGAGACATTGAAACAGTAAATTTAAAAGAAGAGTTTCAACATTTTAAAATCCTGTGCAATAACACCAATTCCGATACCATTTATAAAAAATTAGAACAAGCGCAATGTGTTAGATCAACATTCCCCAATATTATTACTTTATTAGAAATTTATTTAACCATCCCGTTATCCAATGCCTCTGCAGAGAGATCGTTTTCGACATTAAAACGAATAAAAAATTACTTAAGATCGACTATAGGGCAAACCAGACTGAATGCGCTTTCTTTGCTATACATAGAGAACAAAAGTATGGACAACATTGACTGTGATGCTATTATCAAAGATTTTGCTTTAAAGAAAGCAAGAAAAAATATATTTGTTAATTAACTTAATTAAGTACTAAAGATTAAGTAGTAGTAGTAAAACTACTTTTACATTATTATTTTGCTTTTTTATTTTATTTTAAGTTCTTATGTAAACAAATATGTTTATTTTATTTTAACAATTGTGTTAATTTTATTTTAACAAATGTCTATTTTAACAAATGTCTTTATTTTATTATAGTAAATAACAAATAAATTTATAAATGTTTATTTTCTGGTCATTTGTATTTTTTAAGAAAGCAAAAGGGGCCCGGAAATTTTAGCGCTTCAGACCCAAAAGTTCCTTAATCCGGCCCTGGTATGCCTTGACCATAGTAACACATGTTGGGAGAGGAGATATTTGAATAAAGTACTTTATGCGTTGAAAACTGTTTATTACGCGGATTCAATACGAGGAGAATAATGAGTGTGTAATGCGTGTCTCTCGACCGGGCGGTCGTCTTATATACCGTCGTCAAAATAACCGACGCTTCAAATCGCGCCAATCACGCGAGGACACGAATTCGACAAAAATCTCAGACGACGAACGGATGAACACGTACGGAAGACATACAATACAAAAGAATGTAAATACCGAGACAATGCCTTATACTAATACATGCCCGCAATAACAAGACGGACGACGGATAACTAAATAAGTCGAGCCCAACAAATAAATGCCAACACGTATAATAAAAAATAAAATATATTATTATAGATTATGAATGGACAACTTTTTTCTGTGTAGTGAAGTGCAAGAAATAGTTATTGCAAATATAAAATAATAGAAAAAACAGTGCAGTGATCAGTGCCAAACCATATGGGATTACAGCAAAGCAGCAGTGGAATATAAAAGTAGATATATGTGTAAAAATTTTTTTTTATTTTTCGGGAGGGAATTACTGTAACGACTTCTATTTTTTCAACTAACTAATATAAAAAACTAATATTAAGAAAAACAATATTAAGATAAACTAATATTAAGAAAAACAAGAAGATAGAGACACCGAGACACATCTGGCACCGTTCCAAGAAATTATGCAACTAATTTGTTTAACAACCATACGGGCATCACCATGTGCAAGTTTGAACTTGCTTAGATTGCGACCAAGAACGAATACCCGCAAGAAAAAAAATTACAAGAATTCTTCCTTCTTCCTTATTCGCTTTACTAAATCGAGCTTTGCATTTATTCGAGTAACCCTTTCGAGTCTTCTTTTGATGCTCCATCGTCTCAAGAAATTATGCAACGAATTAAATTAAATGTATTGCAACAGGAAGATTGCAATACAGCCATATAGAATTGGGTTTACCCCTGATGATGTATATGTCCATTATTGTGTCCGTTATTGTGGCCATCAACAATTTCTATCCTCAAAGAAGATGAACCTGTTTCTCTACTTCGAAGCTTTGAATATGACCAGAACCGTTTAACATCACGTTTGAGTTCGTGGATGTCATTTCTGTCGCATGTTCACTTTTCTCACCTTTAAGAGACCAGCGGCTGCAACAAAAATAGCAATAGCATACAAATTAAAATTTAATTTAATTTAAACAATTACATACAATACATCAAGAGGTGATTTTTTATCATAAAAATAATATATATAATATCAGATAATTATCATAAAATACACTGTAGGAAATCGTCACAGCGATATCTAAGGGAGAAAGACATCACAAATGAAATCAATAACATAACTATTGAAAACTATCTCATTCTTAGGCAAAAACAGTCTAATTTCTTGTCCAAAGGCAATGAAATATAATAGTGATATAATCGATAATATCGTAAATATAAAAACTGCAAAAATTATTTTGAAATTTTATCCATGAGAAACATTCATAGATAGAAATTGATCGGACACAAAATAACCCGCATGTTTGTACCCTGAAGAGATAATACAATACTCACTTCAAGTCCGCGACATCGTTGAAATTCACCACGCTGATGAATACCATAATGGTAAACACCATGCTAGAAAATGGGAAGGTCCGATTAACCACGTTAATATTGATCACAGCCAACCACATAAGAGCCAGTGATCCCTATAATAAGAAAGAAAAAATCTGGTGAGTACACACACATAGAAATACACAGACATAGATATATGTATAAATATATTAAATTATATAATATTAAATTAAATTAAATTATAGTATAATAAATTGTAAAAAATATAAATTGATAAAAAGAATAATAATATAATAAAATAATAATAAATTAATGTTATCGATGGTAATGATCGAAATTGATGATAATCTCGATAAATTTATGCGAGAGATTAAAGAGCTTTACGAATTGTTCATTGTTTTATTTTTGCATTTTTTTTCTCTCTGTGTGTATGTATATACATATATATAAATTCATATATTTTTTTTCTTATTTCGTTTAATTTAATATTATACGCGCGAAGCAAAGTTATGTTAAGTTTGATAATAAAATCTTAAAAATTGCAACGCATGTATAAAATTATTATTGCAATGCATGCATAGAAATATATTTATATTAATTATACGATTCATGAAAATTCAAATTATATAAATTTTTAAGGTCTTTCTTATTTGGGGATTTATATATAAATTTTTAACAGAAAACAAAAAAATAAAATTTTCTATAAGAATCTTTCCATCAAAATATCTGCGCTTCCATTAAATTCACGCGTATCTGTACGCGTCCCCTACGCTGCACGGCTCGCGCGACATCCAACTTCACAGTCGATAATGAATTGGTGAAAGCAATTCTCTCTTTCTATTCTTTCCATCAGATTAATACATCCCATACATCTGTCACGCAGCGCGGCTCGTGCGGGACCGATGGTCACATGACCAGTGGGCACGTGACCAGTGGCCACGTGACCTCGGTTTCGCGGTACCTCGAACCTCGAACGAGAATCGAAATTCGAAATCAGTCCCGCGCGAGCCGCGTAGCGTGACAAGTGTATGGGGTATAGTCTCGCGCGAGTCTAATGAAAGCGTAGATATTTGATCACAATAAAAGATTCTTGTAGAAAATTTTATTTCTTTATTCGTATTTTCTGTTAAAGATTTAAATATTGAATTTTTATGCGTTGCATAATTAAATAATATAATTTTTATCCATTAATTGCAATAATAATTTTTGCATGCATGTGTCGCAATTTTTGTTTTTATTATCAAAGAATAATATAACTTTGCTTTGCGTGCGTAATTATATTCGGTTAGATTAAACGAAATGATATATATATTCTATTGTACATTTTAGTATTTATAAGCAGATATAATATATTTTATATTTTATAATGGAAATGTTTATAAATTGGTGATACCACATGTGTCTCTTAATTAGTAAATATTTATTATTATAAACAGAAAAATATTTTAGTAATTAGACAAAGCATTAATTTATATTAGCAAGATTAATAAAATTATTAAAATCGATATATTTGCAAATTCAGAGATTGACTTGTACTACTTGTTCTACGTTACTGGATTTAAACTACTGACAAAACTGATAGAAATTAATTTATATTACTTGGAATTGATTCTGCGTATTATTGACTTATACTATCATAAAGTATCTCCAAAATCATTGACTCGTTCTACTTACTTAAATTAATAAAACGATTAATAATTTATATTACTACAAATATTGCAAATAGAAAAATCTTTTAGTAATAAGATAAATTATTAATTTATATTAGCAAGATAAAATTATTAGTAAGATAAAATTTTCCTTTCCATATACGAAAATAATTTTCTTTTAAAATTTACCCTGGACATCATGGCAATCGTAATACAATATTGAAAGAATTTAAGAATAAGTATTTATCTGATTAATATTTTGAGAAAAGAAAATTTTGAGTGAGAATACTTACAGGGTTTGTCCGGAAAGTAATGCGTCGCATTTTTTTAAAAAAGAATTTATTGATCGCATAGGTAAAACAACTTAAAATTGTTCGAAGTATGACCCTTCTGCGTCAATACATTTTTGCCAACGCGATTTCCATGCGTCATAAGATTTCTGGAACTCCTTGACTGGGATGCTGTTCAGGGAGGCCGTCGAAGTAGCTTGTACGTTGTCAACCGACTCGAGCTGTTGTCCTTTGAGCTCCCTTTTCAGCCGAGGAAATAAAAAAAGTCCGCCGGGGCCAAGTCGGGACTGTAGGGCGGCTGCGGCACCGTTGCCACACCGATCCGGGTCAGGTAGGCCGTAATAACAAAGGCGGTGTGAGCCGGCGCGTTGTCGTGATGGAGTTTCCATGAAGCGCGGATCTCCTTTCGGACGCGGGCGATCCTGTGATTCAGTCTCTGAAGCACTTCCTTGTAAAATTGAGCGTTGACAGTCTGGCCGGGGGGTACGAATTCATGGTGCACTATCCCCTTTGCATCAAAAAAAATAATGAGCATTGACTTCACCGCACTCTGCCTCTTTGACTCCGGATCGTACTGAAAGACCCATGACTCATCCCCAGTGATAACGTTGTTCAGGAAATTGGGATTATCTGCACAGAGTTGCTTGAGTTCTTCACAAACTTCCACTCGGTGTTGCTTTTGCGCATCGGTCAACACTCTGGGCACAAGTTTTGCGCAAATCTTCCGCATGGCCAAGTCTTCCGATACAATCTCGTGAACAATCGTTTTCGGCAAGTTCAATAATTCCGACATTAAGCGAACATTCATTCGACGGTCTGAATTCAATAATTGGCGCACACGAGTCACATTGTCGTCCGTTCGCGATGTTGACGGGCGTCCTGCGCGGGCCTCGTCGGCGACCTCCTTCCGACCTTCTCTAAACATCTTGTGCCATCTGTTTGACTGCGATTTGGAAAGGCAATCGTCCCCGAAAACTTTCTTGAGCATTTCAAAAGTTTCCAGCGGCGTCTTGTCCAGCTTCACGCAAAACTTTATCGCATAGCGTTGCTCTATCGTTCTCTCCATCACAAGTTCGACGCGACCACTAAGCAGAGGTTCACAGAATAAGCCGTCCTAACCCTCCAAGCGCATGGAAACAATTGAGCGACCTACCGTTGGAAAGCTAAGGGTACCCCCCTTCCTCCCCAACCGGTCCCATCGCTCTGCGATGTATAGTCGCGTCACAAAAAAATGCGACGCATTACTTTCCGGACAAACCCTGTAGATGTGCAATTCATGTTTGTTTAAAAAAAATTTCTATCGGAAAAAAGTGTTAATTATTATTATTATTCCTTACTAAATTCTAGGAATTATGATATTTTATATCGTTCTTGCTCTCTTTTTTTAATATATATATATGTGTAACAATGCAATAAAATAATAAAAATTGAAGTTGAAAAACTAAGAAAGAATAAGAAACAAAAAAATTTTAATAATGTCCCTCCCTGGAAAAAACCCTGTGAACACCCATGATTAAAATATATATATATTTACGGTGCTTTTCGTTCCGCGATGCCAAAATTATATTGAGGGTGAATAATGAGGGGAGACAGCTGGTTCTCTGTGCGCGGAAGAAACAGCTCTTTCTCTTCTATTGATCGCGAGAAACCCCATACATTTCCTTGCATGTGTCGACGATCATTGCCAATAGGGATTATATATATATATATATATATATATATATATATATATATATATATAATATAATCCCTATTGGCAATGATCGTCGACACATGCAAGGAAATGTATGGGGTTTCTCGCGATCAATAGAAGAGAAAGAGCTGTTTCTTCCGCGCACAGAGAACCAGCTGTCTCCCCTCATTATTCACCCTCAATATAATTTAAAAATATATATATATGTAGATGTATTTTCAACGGAAATTCCCAGGCTTCGCCGACCGAAATTATAACGTAGAAAAAGTCGTCAAAGCGAATGAAAATATATTATATATATACACGTTCGACGAAATTGCAATTATTCTTGCTACTCATCGCGTCATTATATTCATTCGAATCATCCTCTCTTTGCTCTCTTCTTCGGATTATATTTTAATGACGCGTTATATGTAACTGTAATTTTTTTAGTATATAAAAAGGCCAATTAATCGAGCATTATTATATGATATAAACTAAGTATTTATTCTATATAATAACTTTTAAATAAATTATATTTGATCGGAATGTTAACCCGCAACATTATTGTATAGAAACTGTTATAGCTGTAAAACAATCTTCAAACAATAATTCAAATAGAGAAATAATAGCAATAAATCGAAGACTCACGATACAAATTTTACGTAAGAAAATGCATTATAAAACATTTTAAAAAATTTATGAATACAAACCAAGAAACCAGCGAAGCTGCAAGAAAATATAAAATTCCACAAAAACGATTTCCAATCAATAAATGCACCGGATGATCAGTCCTCAAGGGCTAACAATACATTACATGCACATATGACTAGGAAACTTTACATACTTACAAGAGAATTGTTTTTGGATGAATTGATAAACTGGAATGTTGAAACATTGGTAGATTGTATGTCAAATTTGTGCTTTAGAAAATTTATCGACATGTGTTTACAAGTTTGCTGTAACAATAAGAAACCTAGATAAATGTTTAGAATACTGGAGATATAATCGTGCAGATAATGGATATATAAATAATTGTATAAAGAAATGTAATCAAAATTAGTCGACGTTCCTTGGTTGGGATATATTGTGGCTGTCTCACAATTTCAATTTAATTTTAATTTTGACTTGTATATTTCACTATAAATTGATATTGATTGTTGCTTTATGATGAGTTAAATATTATTAATTTTACTTGTAAGTATTACGTGCGTTTTCATTTGTAAACATTAATTAGTGTTTCGTTGATGATAATAATAATGTTTAATAATTATTGTAGTTGCACTTGAAAAGGACCACAACCATATATGATCGAAACGTCGTAAAATTAAATAAACGATTTTACCTGCTAGTTTGGTCGATTTATTTCCAAAATTCATAATTTAATAACTTATACATGCATGCGTAACAATGAGAAATAACGATTATTAACTCACTTATAACAAACTGGTGAAACACCGTCAGGCGGCATCGTCCTTGATGCGTCACTACC